ATTTCCTGGAACTGACTTACATATTTAAATATTTTTAGCTAACTAATTATCTGTTTTTGATAGCTGCTCTTTACTTTCTTTATGGCCTAGAGAAACAAGTGCTTGGCTTGGACATAAACAACACTCAAATGCTGTTTTACCTTTAGTAAACTCAAAGAAAAGCAGTATGAGTTCTTGTGTTTATTGCTTATGTCTGGGACTATTAAATGTGGCAATGAGCTCTATCGTATTTCACTGAGCCATGGAAGATGAAGACTGTTTCCAGACATGATCAGAGATCTTGATAGCAGGTGGAACTGATTGGTTTGGTTATGACATCAAAGCAGCAATTTTCTAGTTGAGAACAAGATGTGTTTGAATTGCATAAGCAAGTTAATAACCCTGTTCTCTTGGGACACATCATTGAATCTGTACTGACACACATGTTTATACAGGTGAAACTCGAAAAATTTGAATATCGTTCAAAAGTTCATTTATTTGAGTAATTGAACTTAAAGACGGAATCTCATTACATGCAAAGTGAGATATTTCAAGCCTTTATTTGTTATAATTTTTATAGTTACAAAACCCGCAAATTCAATATTAGAATTCAACATAAAATTTCAATAAAAATTCAATATAAAAACTTTCGCATTAATGTTAACTAAAACGTTTTTTTCCATGAACGATGTATTAATAATGTTTTTGTGCTAACGTTTTAAGAACATTATTGAAGGCCAGATTAATTTTTGAACAAACACATTATAAACGTTACTGCAATAATGTTTGTTCGGAAGAACCATGCCAGAATGTTGTATCGTTTTTTGATTTTGTTTCACATTTGTGTTTTCGTGCCTTTCATTTTGAAATTGATCTTAGTCACGTTTCTTCTAATTTTAGGAATGTATTTTCTGAGACAGCTAAACAAAAAATAATGTAATTTACCTGAGCGTCAAAGTTAAAATATTTGAATAACTATTTATTGTGTGCGGTTTCATTGTGGTTAATCGTGCACAAGTATTGTATAAACAATTTTTTATGTTTTATGTTCTAGTCCGAATACATAGTACCTGGCGAAAAGTACATGGATGACCTACTACTTCTGTGATTCTGAAGTGTGCATTCGATGGGCACTTCAATATCCCATGAACCCACGGGAGAGGCTTTTTATGAATGGCAGTGGTATGTAACAGTAACAACATGGCAGATTTAGATTTGTATGTATTTGTATTGTAGTATATGATTTCAGATGCAATGTTAGTCTCTCTGCTCCTTTACATTATTGTTTCCTTGTTACTCTACATGAATGACCGCCATTGTTTTAGTGAGTTCAAGTAATGCAGTCAAAAAAATAAACCTTTGGTCCTACACTAAACCTTTTCAAAGGGCTACCTGTGAGAAATGTTTGTACATTTGGCATCCTCCACGGGTAATTCCTCACCCTCCACCAAAGGAATCCTCACCCCTTCTGTATTCAGGAATGTTCAGCACCACACCCCGGCCCGCTCTCTGACCCTTCTGACCCTAACAGTCTATACACCCTTGACATGAAACCAGGCTTGTCACTAGACAGTTTGCCAAAAAGAATCAGACTTTGATTCCAGCCTGAGTGCATTTGAACAGATAAATATTTTGACCAGTTGACCAATATAATTGTGCCTTCAGTTTATACAGTATAAACAACCATCGGTACACCAAAGAATAAGGGGCGGTTTAAATCCTCAGAGCCTGTAGAGTCAGCAAGAATTGTAACCCATTTTATCTGCATAAATTTACATTTTCATGTAAAACAGGACCTCAGGACCATATTAGCTATCAGTTTATTTTGATTTTCATTAGATATTTAATTCATTTACTCTTTTTAGATCACCTTAGCCATCATCTAATTCTTACTTAAAGTTAATCTTTAGCCAATCTCAAATGTATATTGATTTTTCATACATTGTAATGTTGTGATGCCTAAATTCACTTGTGGTATTTAAAATGACTGATTTAAGTTTAGTATTTTATATGTAGTTTAATTAGACAAAATAGTATAGCATTTCAATATCGACCCTGTTGTTGGCCATGGCATGAACATAATTATTGGCTTATGTGTATCTATATTTGTAATATTGATGCACCCCTAATATTCAGTGTAGTCAAGGCTAGATTCTATCCATCAGTAACTATGAAAACAGTTTTATTTTGAATCACAAAAATCATTCACAATAAGATCAGGAATGTGCACTAAAACATTTGAGAGGGTTGATTTAGATTTCATGTTGACTTCTCACAGGTTCTGCTGGCTGCTAAGAAAAATAAATTCGATTCATTCCTACTCTCTTTTTCAGTGGTTATGCAGGCAAACAAATATTTTGAGCTTTGGAATGCATTCTGGACAACAGACTTTAAAAGCTCAAGGGGGAAAATCTAGTGGCACATGCAGCTCATGTTACAGTTTTCAATCCTGAGACAATCCTGTCACTGTTCAGACTCTCTAAAAGCATGTTGTGCTCGTCTATGACTCAATAACAGAGAACTGCTAGGTAAATAATGGGGCTGTGTCAGAACAGAAGACTGGACCCACATGACTAAAGCTAAGATTTTGTACACGTAGAAACCTTATTAATACCAAGTACAAATTCAAAAAGAACACAGGCAAAAACACTTACAAGACCGCAAAGGGCAAATGACTGCATTTTGGTTATTTTATTAATATGCAGTTAAGCCGTTCCATCATGAAATACGAGCACTAAATTCATTTCCGGATAATAGCCTGTTCATTTCCACTGCAAGTCAGGAAAGGCGCAAGCCTCACGAAACAGCCACTAAAGTTAACTTTTCACAAATAGATGGAAAAAATCCTTCTCCCTTGATCCAAGAAGCACTGGTTCAAAGCCAGTGAGCTGAGGCAAGGGCGTGCAGTGCAGCCAAAGAGTGCACTTTTCTCACTGTTTGAAGAATGCCATGCATATTTCTTAAAGGTCCTTGACTTTCATTGCTTTTTCCTCATCTTTCGGCCAGATGTCGGATGCATGCTCTCCGATGGTTTCTGCAGGTTCAAATCAAACTGTAAGCCCCTGAAAGCACTTTAAGAGTGTACATTTGTCTTATCTTCTATTAGCAGCATAAGACAGGGCTTGGGTTGTGTTCCAGTGGCGGGCACACCTAGATAATCATCTCTGGACAATTCTTGAATTAAGCATGAACTGGGAGGGAAAGCCCCAGTGGGATGCAAAACATTCTTGCAATTTTTTATGTCTCAGCTCTCTCCATCGGAGAGAAATATGGATAGAGACCAGTTGCACAGGAAATCAAGCCCTTAGTCAGTAGCACTCCTGTCCTCCATTTCTCTTTTCTATAATTCATTCTCTTCCTCAATGGTTCATCTTTATTATTATTGAAGACAAAAATATCTAAATGTGTTCACTAAGTGACACACTAGTCAGGGCAAAACAATAGGATGGACCAGAGTCAGTGTGAGAGAGTTTTGCACCAGTCTCTTACCCTACAATTTAAAAAAATAAAGGTACTTTATAATAGCATCTATAAAGAACCTTTAACATCTACATACAGCAAAAGTTTAATATGCTTAGTTTTATTTATAGTGGAAAAAGATTTTTAGATTCAACGTTCACTGAAAGGTTCTTTGGGGAACCAAAAATGGTTCGTCTATGGAGTCACTGAGAAAATCCCATTCTGATCTTAAGTTATTTGATATAAGACTTGCAAACGTAAACCTGTGGCATCGTGTGATGTAAGCTATCTAGCTGACTGACATGGATGTGGTTGGAAGTATCAGTTAAAATGGGCTGAAAATAATAATATTTTCAGATAGTCACATGAGTTGTGAAGTTTTCCATAGTTATCACAAATGTAAGAGTAGATTTTTTGTTGTAAAATATTTCTAGACATTTTTATAAAAAAAAAATACATACATACTTGACAGTGAATCAGTGTAAATCTACAGGTCAATGAGAATGGTGTGAATGTATCATGCTGTTTGGGTTTCAATCTTTTACCAGCAGACATCAGTGTCACCTCCACAATTGTTGTTCTGCAAAACAACATCTCACCATCATTTTCCCATGCAACAGACAGAGTCGTTCTTAGTTTCTATCCTAAATGTTTTGGCTCTGTGTATTCCGGTCAGCTGAGAGCTTTTTGTGAAACTCAGACATAATGAGTTGTATTTGAGGAATGAAATTGAGAAGCCCGATATAAATAGATGTAAACAGGCCTCAGAACGTCATTCAGCTCAAGCTCCAGGACTGTGTGTGCTGAAGATAACAGACAATACACTATATCTACTGTTATCCTGGGCACTAAATAATAGAACAGAAGCATACGATGGAATAATAATAAATGGACCAATTCCAAGGGTCCTCGCACCATCTGTGCTCAGGCCCTAAAAAAACACTGATGAGATGAAAAACACATCCAGATACAAATACCCCAAAAAGGATAGTACTTTTTTTTTTTTTTCAATTTTCACAACCCAAAACCTCACATAGATGAATGTGCATACACTGATTCAGTGCATTTCAGAAGCAGAGGCTGCACAGAGACAGCATGAATGCACTTACACAGGAATTATTTTATGTTATGCAATTGTGAATATAACTAAAATTATGAAAATATAAATATCTGTATTATAAAGAATTCTAATGTAAAAAATGACAATATAAGTACATTTTTTCAATATAATTCTGAAGCTGAATTTCATTCACACAAAAGTAAAGTGGAGCTTCCTCTGATACTAAGGTCAGAGGTGAATCAGAGTTGGAATTTTCTGTGAGCGTAAAGGTACTCATTCATCAATAAAGCAGCATCAGAGCAGAGAGAACTTTGTTGTCATAGAGAATATATTTCATTAATCACGAATAGTCTCACAGGATTCTATTTTCTTAATTATTTCGCTTTTATGCAGAATTAAACAATATACGTGCATGCTTTGCGGTGTAAAGACGCCTTAACTTTAATGCTGATCAATTTTGCATTGTGACGTAGCACCGTTTAGGTTGTTGACACGCACTTACCAACATCAGCATTGCAGAACGCCTGTTGAGGATGAACGGGGGAACAACTGCACGCTTCTGCGATCTCTCCCAACCGAAACAGTACCAGCACCACAAGTGTGCCAATACAGCTCTTCATCTTTGCTTCACTTTAATATCTGACAGCAAATATAGAGGCAGGTAGACGATCTTCTGCAGTGACAACAAAGATCCAGTCCCTCACACAGCCGAAAAGTACAATGTCCACCGCCGTTCAAGATGCCCACACGCTGAGTTTTAGTATGACTATTGCTGTTAAATTCCGAAAGGGCTTGTTGGTAATAAAGGAAGTGCACTGCTGCTCTATCTAATGGTCTTTCCAGGCTTCTTTCTTTTCCACTGCCTTCTATGGGTGTGTTCTCGTGGAGAGACCAGGTTCATGCCTTAATACTGCGCGTGGACTCCTCCCTTTCAAACCAGATTCAACCAGAGGTGGGCGCTTCACGATGAAGGTCCTCAAAAGATTTCTTTCACTCTTTCTGTCAGGACGGCGTTTTTGTATAGATAAACACATTGAACAAATCTAGACTAAATTAACCTATATTACATAATATATCGGATTGGATCAGATCTTGAAAATGGGTTGTTCAAACGGGAAAGAAGGAATCTGAAATCAGATTAGATCAGGGAATCCAATCCTAGTTTTAATCTGGATCAAACCTTCAGTTTGTGTTGTTCAAAACTTGTCAGTGGGATTTGGATAACTTTGATTAAAAAAAAAACAAAACAGGATTATCCTGATCACAACAGGGGGTAGGATTTCAAGGTGGATTTCAGAAAGAAAATGTAGTAACACTTTAAAATTGGTCAAATTTGTATCATTTAGTGTATATACTTTTATTTATATTTTGCACTTGACTTGTGTAACCGTTGTAACAGTGATAAAGTAGACTAACAATTAAGCTATTCAGTAGTAAAGTAAAAATGAAATAAAAAATTATCTTGTCCCCATTTGTGTTTTGTCTCAAAATAAGACACACTTACAGTGACCCCATGTTGGTTCTTCTACTGTACCTGTTCTTTACATAGCTGGTGGCCCACATTGTGATATGTTGTCCCATTTAGAGCACTGGTAATCCGGATTTGGTAATCTTGAAAACTGTGTATCTGGATCAGGGTGATCCAGTCCAATGTTGCTTTGAAAAACCGGCATAAAAGTAAAACGGATTACCTGATCCTGGATAGGAAAAAATGGGATTTCCAAATCCGAATCATTTTGATCCAGATGAAATGTTTTGAACAACTGGCCCCATGTGATAGTTTTGTGTGAAAAAAAGATTCATGAACAGTCTTTATTCACAAATAATCTTGTAATTTTTGGCACGTTCACCAGAGAAGTACTATAGTGTTTCATTAACAAATATTTCCTGAGTCAAACCGTTGAATCGTTGATTTCGGTTCTCAAATCCTGTTTAAATGATTCGCTCATGAATTGGACTATCTAATAAATGATTTAAATGACAGTCTTCTCACACAAAGCTATCACATGAATTCAGAAGACTTGGAATATAAAGCCATATTGGCTTCTTTTATGATTTATAATAGTTTTTCATCCTTTTGCTTCCAAAAAGCATCATGAAGCACAATGAAAATATGTGGGAGGCTACTGTGATCCTTTTCTCATTCTGTCACTATAATAATAGCCCATATAAAGTAGAATAAAACGTCCTTTTTCTTTCTGCTTTCTTTTTTTTATCCACGCTCTTTGAACCGTAATGCGACAATAAAAAAAAAAACTTATTTCTTCATATTAATACACAAAAGCACACCAGAGATACTGAATAGGGAACATTAGCTGCTATCACATCTACAAGGAATTTGCTCTTGTAGTCATAAACCTACTGAAGTCTCTTTATTGTTTCTCTTCCTACTCAGAACAGCAGTAAAAGGCTCTTTGCTCCCGCGTCTGCCATGAGTCTGTGTCTGCAGCTGGCTCACTCTCATTGTTTCCACTCTGACTAGAGGGAAAAGCAAAAATACAAAATGTGCTGCTCTGAGAGAGAATGAAGTAAAATAAATAAATTAATGCAATGGTTGGAAAATCTCATGGCAAGTTTGTTGGCAACGCCTCCATCTTAATGATGACATCACCACTCTGGCTGTGGCTGCATAGCCCCTGTCAATTTAAATGTCACATGACCTTGTTTTTTATTTCAGTTGTGCATTTTTAAACAAAGAGATACGTTAAAAGAGCACAGAGTCTTAGTTTATCATAAGGCCCAATCTGAAGACACACATCCTTGAAGATAGTCACCTCTGTTGTACTAGTTTTGATTGAGTTCTAGAAGAAAAACTGGTATTGACGCTGTGCTTTTGTGAAGGAAAGAAACTTTGTGACTTGGTCTGCTGTTGCGTGTTTGATGGTGTGCAGCACAGACAAAAGCAATTTAGTGTCTGTGGTAATACTTAACAAGGAAACTATGTCAAAAATGTGTATGTGGTGCCCAGAAGGAGTGTTTTCCTCATTTTTTTTTTTTTTTTTTTTTTTTGCATCCCTTGCAAAAAAAAAAAAAAAACAACTCAAAATTACCCAGAGCTATACAATGAAACACCAAGCTTTCTTGTGATGGCCAATTTATAAACAGTGGCAACAGTGAACTCATCTGCGCATCTATATGGAATATTTACATAATGGTTTTTTAAATTACAGTCTGGTTTTTCTTAAAATACGACTGCATTATTCCAACAGAGGTTTTCTTATGAACATAGCAGGGTTATTGTCTGGGTCTGTGTGTTTGGAATAACAATTACGGCTTCTGTCAATCACTAAACAGTTACCAATATGTGAGGCTGCAGACATACAGGAGATGAGAATAAAAGCAGAAGAGCTTATGTGGGCCAACTGTTTAATTTATATTAAGATTAAATCCTGTAATTAGATGTATCATCCTGAAAATAGGCAGTATTTAATGTGCAACAGGTAATCTTGGAAGTAAAATTATATGCTTAACAAAATAATGCGTAGGAGAAATTACATGTTTTAAAACTACACCAACATAATTTTACATTTAAAAAAGACAGAATTTTTTTTTATTGTATTTATCTGGTGGGTGACAATAACAACTGTTAGCATTCAAGTTGCAAATGCATGGATGTTTTATTTTATTTTAATAATTATTATTATTATCATTTTTTTTTAATCTACACCAAAATAATTTTACATTTGAAAATGACAGCAAAAAAAAAAAAATATATATATATATATATATATATATATATATATATATATATATATATATATATATATTATTGTATTTATGGTTTCTGCGTTAACAGTATAATGTTTAGCATTCAAGTTCCAAACCCATGGATGATAATAATAAAAATAAATATATAAAAAACGTTTTAATGTAATCTAAAAGTGACTTAAAAATAAATAAATAAAAAATGTATTTAATGCAATGTAAAAGTGATTTAAAGGGTTACATTCAAACCATTTGTGTAATTTCAATCTCTCGAAAGGTTAGGGAGACTCCTGCTGGACAGAATAAAAAAAACCACAGAGGACATACTACAAGAAAATCTAAATAAAATAAAATAAAATAAAAAAGAATATAAATAAAATAAAATTTTAAAATGAAATACAAAATGAAATGAAATAAAATGAAATAAAATAAAATAAAATAAAATAAAATAAAATAAAATAAAATAAAATAAAACATTTGAATGGGAGACAGATATTTGTTTTTTCACATCACTAAAGTGTCTGGCTGCGTCTAAAAACCCAGTCAGCGTTCTTTTTTGCGCGCTCATGATGCCTAGAAATTATATGCTGTCTATGTAGGCGACTCACTAGGTTTTCAGACACGGCCAAATGTGTGTGTACAGTTCTCCGTGAGTGGAACAGAAGTAACCTGGAAGAGAAAAGAGCAGCGCAACTGACAAATGATGTTGAGTGTGTTTGGCGGAGGAAGACTAGAGCTGTCTGTGTGAAACACCGCTGCAGGATGGACGCGGACGATTATGGTAAGTTTATGTCATTAAAGTTTTACATGACTGAATAACGTGTTAAGACTGACAGCAGCGTGTCAAAGTGCATTATTGTGAAAAACAATGGCAGATAAATAGAAGTTTGTGTTCAATTGGAATCCAAACGAGACCAAACGGACAGGTCGATGCTAAATAATAAAGCAAACATTTGCATACTAGCAGTGACTTATTAAAACACGATGTTTGTTAGTAGGGACACCATGTTGACAAGACAGACACGTTGTTGACCCAAATATTTGGTTTGTGTGCACCTATTTCTGTTCATATGTAGGCCTATCTTTTTAAAGCTAAAGTTAGCCAAGGATTTGTGTGCTTTGAAAGAGTCATCATAAATTCAGATATGTTGTTGTGTTATATGAGGATGACCCAAATTGATCTCATTCCCTTAAATGCTGTTTATACAGTATATCAAAAATATGTGGTTTGAGGTTTTTTATGTTTAATGTAGCCTACCTTTTAAAACACAAAATTCTTCAAATGGTGTATGTTTCTATATTGCGCCCACACTCACAGTAACATATTTTTGCCTTTTTCATTGCTTTTTTTGTTTTTTTGTAGAATGTCAGAGTAGCAGAAATGATGTTACAGGATATCCTGAGTGAAAACAACAGACACACCACAGAGCTTTTGAAGAGTGGTTAAATGTCTGTTTTTGTACAAGAGTGAAACCTGTTTAAAAGCAGTGAAAACAAAGAAGCGCTAGAAGTTTGTACCAAACAGTTTTCCTAAAGTTTCCCGAAGTCTTGTTTAAGACAATGAAATGATTTAACGAGCAGCAGGAACTAAATGCACCGCACCCACCATGAATTCACACTCTTAGGGCTATATTTTGTCATTTCCATAACAACATTATAGAAATGACTGCTCATTTGTCCGTTAGACTCTATTGTTGCACTTCTTTATGATTTGAGTGTTTTGTGGTCTTGTTGGTAGTCGCTGTGTATAATTATGAGTAATGAGTGTCACTCAAAGTTCACTTCTTAGATCTGTCAGACAGACAATAAAATAGTGATGATTAGCATTAGCGTGTGTCTGAAGTGGCTTATTAACAAAAAAATAGACTAATTCTGTTTTAATTTAATTGTAGTTTCTTTCATATTTTTTGCAGTAATATTTTAAAGACAGTTGATTTAATATATGTTGTGTACTTAAGAAAGTGTTATATGTCAGTGGGTCTGTGTGCATCTCACTTGCTATAATAAAAAAGGTCAATTTCTTATGTTCTATTACTTTTTTAACTTTCTATAATGTGAAATTTTGCTCTTTGAACATGAAAAAGGTCTGCAAAGTTACAAAACACAAAGTCCGTTCCAAAGGGAGTTATTCTCAATATCAATGCGCAATGTTTCTGAATTCCCTGAAATGCCTTGATTGTAGTCTTTCATTTTTTTACAGGAAT